TTCTGAATTTGGAGGGATGTTTGGGCCACTGCTGCACTGATTAATGTCCCTTCCACTAACATAGCACCTATCCCAGGGTACTAGTACTGGAAGATCATCCTCTTGTAGGGACCCTCTGTCAGGTGCCATGGTGGGAGCCAGGGTATATGTCCTTCACTTCTGAGGCAACAAGAAACATCGGAAGCTTCCAGCTCTGACAATTGTCGTCACACCGAGTGCGTCGCCAGCTCTGTGCCCGCAGTTGGTGCTGCGATGCACAGGAAAATGAGGTCCTGACAAAAACAACCGCACCGTCCGATCGCCCATGACCACTATGCAGCGTCCTGCGACTGAAACTCAGCTCAACTGGAATTGGGTGGGAATTGAAAGCCGCAGTCCACACAATATGCACAAACTAATATGGTATCATTGGCTGTCATTCGCTACTCATCTTTGGCAGCACCTTCTCCAGCAAGTAATTGAACGTGTGCCCTGCATACACGTAAGACCTAGGCAAGGCAAGCACGCCCCTGGAAGAGCTGGCACCAGAGAGGCGGCATGGTACATCAGATTCACAATTGCTAAGACAAGGGTACCAGAAGGTAGTCACAGCAAATGTCAGCAAAAATATATAAATCTCTAGTCCAGTTCTGACGAGAGAAACGGCTTAAACGGTGCTCTCCTTTATCGATTTCCTGGTTGGAACGCTATTGCAATGGCAAGTTAATCAGGAAAGCACCAAACCCGCTCCACAGCAAACCAACACCAATGGCTGGCCAAAACAACATGAGCCCCGCGCCGAATGGCGCCAGTGCGAGGGATCTTGGGCAAAACCTGCTGGACAAGGAGACGATGACAACCGGAAAATGGCTTGAGACTCACACAAAATCATGTTGGAACCGCTGCAATGCGCGCGTCCAGGTGCCGGTGCGTGGGCTATACGCCGCTGTCAAAACCAACGCTGGTGCAGCAATCCTTGTGCGATCCAAATGCTGTGATTGCTCTCGTCAACACTCATGTGCTGAACGAACAGTCATTCCGCCGTGTCAGCTGTGAAGCAGGGCATGAAGAAGCATGTCGGATAGCCTTGCGTGCAACCTCCGTCAAGTCGTCCGAGCCTGAGGCATGGCAGGGGTCAGGCGCTGAAGACATAGACCGTGTTTCGACGTGCAAAAGTGACACCTGTACGACAAGGCGTGTGCTGCTAATTACCTCATGTGGCATGGGGAGTCTTGGAGGTGTCATGAGGACAAGAACTACTCTTTGCAATGGACCAAGCTGGGAACCGAGCTAGAAATTATGATGGGCTGTTATGCGTGAGTAAGAACTTGAGAAATCAATGTGGTGCAAGCCAACATTGACAATGCCTGAGCGGACATCAAATAATTTGGGGATTCGGTTGCCAAAGCAAGAATGCAAACAAACACATCCGCACGCTTGGAACCATTTTTGAATGAACCAGCTAGGAAACATGCAATCATGCCTGCATAATTAGCTTGCTTTCACGCCAAGCGTGTGTTCCCAAGCCAGACATCGGCAAGCTCATGTTCTGCGTATGTCTCTATGCAAACACATGTAGGCATGCATCTCGGTAGCTAGGTACGTTTGTACATGACTACATATGCATGCAGGCGTGCTGGTTGGCAGGTAAGTAGGTATGTAGCTAGCTAGAATAATTTAGCTAGGTGGGTATGCATGCATGTATGTACGTACGCACGTACGCATGTATGCATGCATGCATGCATGCAGGTAGGTGCGAACGTATGTGCGTGTGTGTGTGATGTAATCTATGCAAGTTCAATTAGTCATGCATGTGGATCTGAATGTAGAGCTGAATGTGTGCATGCATGAGCTTCCCAGCATTGTTAGCTCACTTGCCTTGAGTGCAACCGGAACCAGGTGAAGACACCCGCCTGGTGAGGCATCGTACTCGCAAAGCACAAAGGTCCTTGGCTGTGGGACGTGTGGCTTGCCCCCCTATTAGTCGTCTCTCCGAGCCTTCACTGGTTTTGATCGGTGCATCTCAGTGCCCTCCGTGACAAACCAGTCTGACGCTTGCTCGCGTTCTGGTGTTTCAGCCAAAAGGCTTGCATCTGATCAGGACATGCTAATCCCTGTCACAGAATGACCTCTGGCTTGCAACTGCCTATCTCAAGGCACACACTGTGTAAAAGGGTCTCAAGTTCAAGATCGTCGCAAGGCTGACCTATGCATGATGATATCCTACTTGTCAAGATGGTGTCTGTCTTTTAGTCTTTAAAGCAAGATGCACCCGATCCCTCTCTCATTGCGGTGAATCTCTCGGAGTACTGTCAAATGAGTTGTTAGACAATCAGTGTATGGTTGCAGCTATCCTGGTCATGAGTCGACCAGCCGTGAGGCTCTCACCCACGCGCCACAGCAGCAGAAAGGACGAGCATCTGCCGGCATTAGTCTTCAGCGAATGCACTCAACGCTAAACTTGGACCAATAAAGAAGGTTCACGCACACAACTATGTGGCGGCTGTTCGCACAAGATTTGAACATGCCCTGCAATCCACCCCTCTGTAAACCGGCATCCGCCAACGCTAGTGCGTGTAGATGGCAAGAGTTTTCCTGAGGTCTTCCTCTGGAAATCCAAAAAAAGCGGAGGCTTTCCGGGTCCGCATGTGTCGTGCTGGATGTATCCTTTGAGGAACCCTCTTTCCCTTCGGCCTATCGTTTAGGCTTATCTCCCACCCATGTGCACAAACCCCTGTGGATGAAATTCCCGCAGATCGACAGCCTGCATTTGCAGTGTGCACTGTCCTGCTTCCATTCTGACATCTACACGAGGCAGGGAGTTTGGCCAGTAGCGTTTTGAATTTCGGGGGCTTTGTGGGTTGCAGGCAAGTGAGGGGGCTGCCTGGCCGAAATTTGCATCCCTGCATGAAGCTTCGAGCCCAGTTCTCCGCTGACCTTGCTGGTGTTCAGTGCGTTTTGGCTTGGGTGCGGAAAGCGCAAGCTCGCGACCAGAGGGCAAAATCGATCACTTGTTTCTGACTTCCTCAGTGTCAACCTGGTTTGCGCACAAATTGGTTGGCCTTTGCCAGGTAAACCAAATCTCCTGCAATTGTCATGTCGGAAAAATCTGTGAATATTTGTCCATTTGATTGCGACAGCCTTCACTCAAAGTTGAATGCGTTGCCCTGGCTTTGCTTCTACACCATCTTGCGCATGGCACAGTCTACAATTGAAATCCTTTAGTGGTCGGACTGCGAACAGGGCTCATGATTCTGCAAAATCAAAACTGGCTTGGCCAAAAGGTTCAAGCTTGGCTAGGTGTCAAAAAACGGCCAAAACATCTCGCCTCTGGCAATGGCTGCAAGCGCAGAGACCCAATCGGCTGGAGCTTGTCCTGTCCTGTGATGCTTGCATGGTATGTACTTGATGCTTTGTACGTCTTTATTAAAACAAGCTTCCGCTTGTCTATGCTGCAGGCTTAAAACCGTTGCAAAGCTGCAGGCTCTACCCCGGGTGCCTATCTTGCGCTGTGAGAGAATCTATAGGCTAACATCTGCCAACATTTGCAAGGCGCTCTGACACTCATTAATGACGTGTGCACGTGGCATTCGTGTCCCTCGGTCTCCATCTTGCTCACCGAGCCAATTGGCAGCAGGCTCTCTCTGTCCTCTGAAGTCAGTCATGCCGCATGGCAGCCTGGACAACAACCTCAAGTTGGCACCGGGCTTCAATGCAATCCGAATCTGAAGAAGCAACACTCACTGGGACTGGGCCGACAATACTTCGATAAGAGGCAGCTTTGGATGGACGAATCTGTGTGGCCAAGAAATTCGGCTAAGAAGGCCGTCGGCATCTACCTCAAACGTTCCTGACGGGCACGCATCCCGTTTTTGCTGCGCGATTGACGAGGTTCTGCCTGACTCACAGTTTGGATACCTGTCAGGTTCAGGAGAAGCTCATTGCAAAGGTCCGGTATGCTTCTGCTAAACGACTGCCTTTCACACATCACACTTCTGAGAAGTTCAACAAAGAGTGTCAGCCTCTCGAGTCCAACTCAGCAGCAGGCCAGCCCTCTGCAAAATTGCGTGACAGGGGGCAAATAGCATCTATCGCTTGCAAAACTCCTAATTGATTCCCAACAAGGAAAGCAGCTGACCAGAAGATCTTGTGAAAACCAATGCTACTCATCCGCAGGAATTGATGAAAAGACGCCTGGCCTGCATCACGCCAACGGGATGTACCTGCGCTCGGAAGCAAAACCGGCCATCGCGCTGTACAAAGAGTGAGGACACGAGGCCACGGCGTGCTCATCAATGAGGAAAGCGCTGCCACATGAAGCCCTGATTCATCTCAAACAATTGCAGTTGGACTTTTGCAGTGCATATTCCGAGAGAATCCCAAACACAGTTCTCACAAAACTCACACTGCATGTAAAGAACGCGACTCAGCACAAGTGGCTCAGGGCTTTCAAAGCTTCACATCTTGTTTGATTTTGATCTGAACGCTTGGCCAGCCGATTCATGCATGGAGAACAAATAAAAACAACTACTTTGCACGGTGTCTTTGCTTACACGAGGGATTTTCCAATTCTGCTCGACACATCCCAGCGCCGCCTTTAGATGGGAGCCGATGCCACAAATTCAGGCATGTCAAAATAGATGGTCCCAACAAATTGTGGCTTTCCTTTTGGTTTCCGCTCAAGCCAAGCCCAAAGGTATCGTTGAAAGACTACATACATTTCTCTTGTGTCAGGACATGTTAGAAGAGAGGCTGGCGCACCAGGACGTAGCCCACTTTGTCCACCATTGCCTGGTGATCGGTGGATGCTGATCTGGTTTGAGGTTAAGGGGGGTCATATATATATATATATACATATATACACAAACATGTTGTGTTACATGTACATGCTACAAAGCCAGTACAGCCGGCGAAGCCGGAGGGGAAGTTTCATACATGTAAACACCATAGTGTGGAGGCTTCTTTCCCCCTGCGCTCTCTCTCTCTCTCTCTCTCCTTCTGTTCACTTTTCGGTCCTCTCTTCATCTTCTTCTTCTTCTGTTTCTTCTTCTCTTTCTCTACCTCTTTCTCGTTCTCTCTCTCTCTCTCTCTCCCTCTCTCTCTCTCTCTCTTCATTCCACGAAAGTGGACTTTGCAAAACACATCCAGTTGTTTGAGGGTCGACCACGGGAGGGCTGCGCGAAGTGAAAAACACAAAACAAACACGACGAGTCTTTACGTGTCGACCCCACAACGGTCCGAGGAGGCTTCGCAACCGCACAGCCGTGCCAATGGGCCTGTGTCGGAGACCGCCCCATACTTTTCGAGACCACTCCGAACACGCTTCCGTCAGGCGTCACGAACGAGGTGGTTTGCGCACTTGCAATCCCGCACACTGCTTTTCCAACTCCTGCCTTTTCCCAGTTCTCGCGAATTTATATGTGAATCTGTATATAACATACGTATATACTCGGTTTGAGACATATTTGTCCTGAGAAACCACAGCTCGACTAGTTCCAGTACTACTGAAGTTCCGTCTTATCTTCCTTTGCTACTTGTAGCTATATGCTAGATTTTGTACACTATATAATATACATTGGAGCCTTCAGGCACAACGAACTTGTGCCTCCAGCGTTGGACTCCAATACTAGTACTTGCCAGTTTGAAAACCGGCCTACCCTTCCTCCCATGGTTTTCCAGACTCCACACGTATGGATCCCTATTGCCTTTGCTCTCGCCTGGAAATGCTCCGTCCGCTTGCCGTCCTGCGCGACGGCAGGTGACATTGGACACCAAGCAGGGTAATCAATGTCCGCACAAAGGACGGCTGGCCTAGGCGCAAGATCTTGTAAACATCATCTTCCAAAGACATCTTTCTGGCTGTTGACACGAACCAAAAGGAGGAACATGTCCACTTAAGACATCAACGACAGAATGCACGTCTTGCTGGCAAGCCGCTGCATCAACGACTCGCCGCGCAGCGTAGGACGCCAAAGTCTGGCGGACAGGTCAAACATGTCCACCGACACATAGAATTTCATGTTCTGTGTTGCATAAGCCGACTAAAGATGCCAGGTTGGCGCTGGGTGTCGCTGAAGAAGGCTTGGTACTGTTGAGGCTGTCTAGTGTTGTATCGAAGCTGCTTGATTCTCGTTAAATTCAAGATCATTGTGCTATGTCCACAATACAGCGTTTTGTTGCACCCACGCAAATCCATACGGAGTTTCTTTATGAATGAACGTCAGTGTTGCTCGCGGACGCAGTGTTTTTTGGTTGGGACTGGGGGGGAGGGGGACGGGGTTCGGGGTTCGGCTTCGGGGGTGTTTCCGTGGACCACACTCTGAGTGCGCCAAGCATGCAGCTCTACGTGCACACAGGTGAGAAGCGCCTCTTCTGTGCAGGCGTCAAACATACACACCGTCTGGCGGAATGGTGCCATCCTCACATGATTGACGATCAAGCTACCTTGCCAGGGAAATCTCGAGCAAGGCAGGTGCTCCGGAAGCACGTTTTGTCAGACCCCGGATCTGGGACGTGTATTGCAGCGTGTACTGCTGCAATACCACCAGATGGCTTGGCAGGCGGTTGGCAAGTTATGCGGAGTCATCTTGACTTGGTCAGTTGTGAAGCATCATGTTCCCATGTTCGCCGTTTTCGTTTTGGCGCTGGTCAAGATGAGCTTTTGTTCGCCAGTGGAAGTCTGGTCAGCGTGCTAGTGGAAACACAGCAATTACCAGTCAACATCAGAAGCAACATAGGCTTCTTTGCTTGCGTGGCTGGCGTAGTATTCTCAGGTACTGCACAAATAATTGTGTCTTCTCTTGCAACGTACAAACCGCACGGGGCTTGGGTCATCAAGCTCCCTGCCTTTCCAGCTTTATTGACGATGGAGCGGCGGACAACATGATCATCTCGCCGCCTCACTCGGGGGAGTCCGTGGCTTGCGTCGAGAACATTGTCAATTTCCGGACTCCGGTGACCTCCAGTGTCTTGATGTCTCCCGTGTACTTCTGCTTGAGGGTACTTCGCAGAACCCATGGGCATAAGGAATGCTTCAATGCCCAGGATGCTTCACTGGGCGCCAGGCTTGCTCGGCGAGCTGAAAGGCAGGGGCAGCAGCCCTTCCGGAGAGCTCCAAATCCGTGACTCGCACCGCGACGTTAGCCTCAAAGCCCTGGAGCCACTACTCCCAAAGGGAGGGTAGACATGATATCTGCCAAGGATGCCTTCGAGCAGTTTTTTGATGTGGCCTCATTCTTGAGAAGTGCTTCATATTAGTGGTGCGAGTTTGTGGGCTGAGCTTGCCACACAAGGCAGGCAAAAAACAGATACTAGCCCCCCGAAAGACCGAGCTGCTCATTTGCAAGCTCCCCCCCCAAAAGAAAAGGATCAACAACCAAGAGAATTGATATTGTGCCACATGTATCCAACCAGATTCTGGTTGTTGCCCATGAGCCAAGAACAGCCCGGCTTCACATCAAGTCGGGTTCCTGCCAGTGGACGGATTTAAAGGGAAACAGGCCACTCGCCTCAAGCTGACTCCCGATCTTCAAGGGACCCCTTGATGAGGCAAAGGTGTGAACCTGCATCCGTAAGCGTCCCAGCCTCGCAGGCTCCACCTCACCTGGGGCCCGTTGTCGTCCACCAACACGTGGCTGCGCACCTCTCAGATTCTCTCTCACTCCCCTGCGGCCCGTCCTTCCAGTTCAGAGTGGGGGTAGGCCTGCTAATTATCTTCATCACACCGTGAACCTACAAACACAAATGATCCAACGCACACCACACACACAGAGACATGCCCGCGGGCAAGGCAATGCCAAAACGTGGGAATGCAACAACTACCTCTCAGCCACGGCTGCAAAAAACTTCGTCATCACAAAACTTCAAACGGTTCAGACTGTGGATTGAGCATTGACGTACCTAGCCTTCCTGGGCTGTGGCTACGTCAAAGGTTTGGGGCCTTGCACCAAATGCCACTCTCAAGCAGTCTGGGGTGTATTCATTCCGACGTTAGGACGTCCCGTATCGTTCTTCTGGTTTCCTTTCTCAGGTGTTGGGGTATCATTCTTTTGCTTACGTCCCGCATCGTTTTTCGAGAACAAGCAACAAGAAACCACAAATGTAAGTGAACCACATTCTACAAGTACATGACGGTACATTTAAGAAGCTGGCAGATCCCTTGCCTCATATTTTCTTCCGATCCCCGGCCACTGAAAGCAGTTGAAGGAACCAGCTCGTCCCTGAACCGCCGGGAGCCCGGCACCGAACAGCGCGGCGAAGAGGAAGAGCCTTAGGCCGCCCAGGTCCTCGGACACCGACTGGTAGCCCGGCTCCACGTCCTGACGTAAAGCTGCGAGCGGAAGGGAATGAGGAACTAGGTCCTCCAGATTTGAGAGGTTAGAATAAGTTGGTACCCGTTTTCTTTTCATTTGTTTTTTTGGTTTTGTCAATTTTAGTAGGGGAACCCTCCCAACCAAAAAATGGGAGAGAAGGGCACTTCTGGGGGACCTAGGAGACATCAAATCTGTGCAACCTGCGACTTACTGTTCGAATGTCAGGCACCAAAACAAGTTGACTCGCTACACCTGTTTGCCAGTCTGGCACGCCGACGCTGGCTCTCTTATGTGTGGCAAACATATCTCCAAACGCCGAAACCTGGAAGGAGACCAATGATACAAGCTGAACCAATACTCCGCTTGGCCGGGAATTTTGCTGTGGTAGAGGTTTTTTGTGCCTGGGGCTGGTGTATGCTGGTGTTTTCCTAGCGCGGGTTTGTCGCATCGCTAGGCTGCTTCGGTGGCAGTTGGGCGTTGCTCGGGGCTGCTTTAATTAGGGGTGGTTTAGGCTGGCTTAGATCTTACGGAGGGTGTGTCTTGGCGTGGTTTGGGGTTCATTTAGGCTCGGCAAAGGGCTGACATCCAGGCTGCTGTTGGGTCTGGTTGACTTTGGGTGGACCTGATTTGTGTTGGGTGTGCTCCTGGTTTAGCAGTAGCCTTCGGGTTGCTTTAGGGTGTGGTTAAGTAAGTGTTGGGCTGGTGTAAACCGACCGAGCGAACGAGCGACCTACCAGCCAAGCGAGGGAACTAGACCTAAAACCAGCCCCAGGAAGACCAAAACACCTCATCCGTTCTGCCTAACGTTCCCTATCAGTTAAACACAAGTAGGATGAGGGGCGGGGGGGGAGGGTGGGGGAACAATGCCAATCACTGGTCGGTTCCGATCAATTTGTGTTAAAGGGCCGCATTTTTGAACGAGAAACAGAATAGCTGCCTAAAGACAGAGAAACAATTCAGCGCAGAGCTGGAAACATAATGGAGAGCCAAAGCATGAGCAACCGGCTTTCATCTATGGGTGGTACCAGTTTTGGTGAACCACACTAAATCGGCAGCAAGAACCTCTTGATCTAGCATTCAGCAACAAAAAGCCCAGACTTGGGCCGCATGCAAACTCAAGGTGTCCTGCGCGATGAACTCCGACCCAGAGGGCTGCAGTCTGTTCAGGTCCACAGTGACCACGCCAGGGCCAGCATCAATCCACCAAACTCCCCGTACCTTTCAGCACAACCTTCACTGCTCAACTTGCCACTTCCTGCTCTGTGGATTTGCGACCACGATTTGTCAAGCAGGCACATCTTGTCTTTAAGCAGATGAAAGGTACAAGACACTTTTTTCGACATCTCCTGCGTCGTTGCGGCAATTGGTTTATTGGGGCTCGAACCCGAGGCGCACATTCTCAGGCACAGCCAGGTTAGGCGGGGCAAAGCGCAAAAGGTCACACGGCACCTGCCAAGTGCCGATTGGTCAGAACTCGAGAGTCGGACAGCGTGCCTTTTGCAAGCGCAGCAGCCAGCGCAATGCCGCACGCGACTTCAACCTTAGCACCGTGGCCGCAATTCCTAAGGAACATGGTCATACAAAAGAGCTACCTGTTGAGCTGCTTGAGGTTGGGTGAACTCCATACTCACTTCCAGTCAATGGGTTGTGACGTAGATCAGAAGGCAAGCTTCGTCAACATGACACAAGTCGAGCAAGAGAAGCATACCTTACTCTACTGAACTTCTTTGGCGACGTGCATTGAGAAAGCTGCAAGAGAGAAGTTATTTTTCGGGGATTTAGTGAAGATTCACCAGCCATACTCCCGCGCAAGGACGCCTAGACTATTTTTCGCATGTCGTTTTTCATGGCCAGCTCTGTCCCCAAATCATACGGAGTTAATCCAGATCGAAGGATCCAGATTTTAAGCCGAATTTTACTTTACATGGTTCGGAAGCAATCAAAAAGATGCTAGGTTCATCCATCCAGGGTCCAACAAAAGATACGCGTTGTTCTCGACAGCGTTGCCCTCACAGTCGCGAACCAAGCAAGCGGTGCTTTTGAACTCGGTTTCTGACAAAAGTCATTATCCCAACAATGAAGGGTTTCACACATTGTTTGACATTTTGTATAAGACGCCACAACTCCATAAATGCCAGAATATGCAAATCAGGCTGAAGGCCAAAATTACATAATCCAAACAACACCCTGAAGGACTCTCCGGGAAACAATTCCAGTGGAAAGATTGAGGAAGGTATCAATGCGGTTCTCTTTTTCCTTTCTGCTCAGCGCAGCCGGATCTGCCACAGGCTCGGACAGTTGCAGGAAAAGAAATGCGAAGCAGCGATCAAAGCCCACATCTAACCATTTCTATGATGTTTTTAAAGTGTCTGCATAGCGTCAATGCTGTTGGCGTCTGCACAAATCATGTTTGCACCCCATGGCTATCGTGGAAAATTAATGGGGTTAATCATGTTTGAACCACTGCAAATGATCAGAACGGCAAGTCTGGACGTCATCCGCCAGAGCCAAAAATAACTTGGCCGTGGGCATCTTGGTCGTCGCTGTGGTGCCAGTAGCAGCAGGTGCTGCACGAATTTGTTGCAGGTGCCAGCCCCTGCGCACACTCACTTCGCTGGCTTGGGAGCTTCTTGAGCTTTCAGGATACCTGCCATCTGCGAGAGATTTGAGAACCACTAGGTCGGCCGTGGCAATGTACAGGAGACCTCATGTTCGACGCACCTATGAATCTAATGCCTGGCTTTGCTTGCTCCATTGCTGGTGGTTGCTTCAGCAGACTTGGCTCAATATCGATCATCTCGGACAGCACATCACATCATATCAAAGGCTGGTCAAAACCAGCGTTCATTGTTGCAAAGCCGCAAGGCAACCATCGAGAAGTTAAGCCGGCTGCTTGGTGATCAATAGTCAGCCAGCATTGCACAAGGTTCATAATCATGCCGCATAATGGAGGCCCATGGCATGTTCAAGGTTGGGCTGCATGTTGCTCACAACATGTATGCCAAGCTGCCCATTCCGAGGAAGATCAACCTCAATCCAGCGCTGCAATTCTTCTAAGTCTCGCAATTCCCGACACCATATACCCACATGGGACGCAGGCAATATTGTTTGTCCTATCAGGCGTGAGCAGCAACATCATGCGTTTTTCTTTGCATTCCTGTGCTACTTGCAGGTAATCCTTGCAACATGTAACCAACATCCCAACATCGCCAGCAGCCATGCTATGTCAATAGCTCATCGCTCGATTTCGCCAAACATCAACGCCTGCGCCAACCACAACACAGCAAGCCCCGTGAATCCCCTCGAATCCCAAAACGTGATGGTTGGCATGTTGGGTCCGTTACAGTGACTTTGGATTGCATCAAAACTGAGGGAACGCGCCAAACAACAGGGGTCGCGCAGGCGAGCAGCGCGTTGCCCAGAATGCCGCTGATCATCAAGTATCGCCAGGGCTTCTCGGGCATCAGCTCCAAGCCAAGGTACACCGACAGGAACATCAGGGCGATCTGGAAAGCAACAAATAACTAGCCACTGGGGGCATGGAAAGTGCACAAAAGTGCGGAAGTCTTGTGGGGGGGTACGCAGATCCAAAAGAGGACGGTCATTTGGACAATCACCCAGATTTCAACGTTATCCGACCTTCAATCAGCATTGCTACACTGCTTAGTTTTCGACTGTCCAAATTTCAAAGGCCTAGCATAACTTAAGCTATGCTTTCAACACGGCGCGAACATATGCTCCTCTTCAATGGGTCGGGAACATCTCTTGAGCCAAGGTTTTTCTGGAGCCTCGTTACCATTGGCCTCACATCTTTTCAGCTTGGCTCAGGGTGGGGTGTGTCCTCGTTGCAAGGGCTCCGTCAAGCTCCAAGCTTACGATGCCAAAAGCCGTCTGTGTCATTCCTCCCGTCCCGCAGCCGCCTTGTTGAAGTTGGCGGCCATGGAAATCATGTGAGACTGAAATGCGCCACTCAGAGTGTACAACATCACCTCAGATCATGAGGCGTCTAGCGCCATAGTCGTCATCTTTGACAAAATGAGAATTGTTGCCACACGTTGACCGGGAACGCGACAAGGTGCTGAGATTCATGTAAAAATCCGTTCATACAAATTGGTGCTTGTTGCTTTTCTTGCAAATCATTTTTGCGCACTGGCCCTCTTTGCACCGCGGTAGCAGTGGATTCGAGGATTCGTCTCGCAGTCCATGCGCACTAAACGCATTGCGCACCAACATGCCGTCCAAGCCACATTGTAGAGTGTCGCGAAAATCCCGGACAAAAGACCTGCGTTGGGCACTTGTCATACGAGGAATCCAACCCCCAAGACAAAGGATCACTATCAAACTTGAATAACAGTACCATAGTCTGCGGTTTGCATGTAAATGTCTAAAGATGCAGGTGTGCAACGACCTGACATGCGTATACATGTATGTTGATATATTAATGAACGATCACTTACATATGTAATTATCATGTTACATGTGTACGCGCTCTGAAGCAAGTCATTCCTTTATGTTTCAACAATCTACCTAAAAAAGGAGGTTGTCGTCCAACTTCATAATCGGCAAGGCCCTTGGGTGGCAGGTGATCAGATCAAACACCGAGCGTCGCGACACAAGCTTGATCGGAAATAACCTCCCCCATCCCCCCCACCCCGGAATTTGCGTCGCCGCTTGAGCGCAGTTTTAGGGCGGACAAAACACTGTCGAAAGTATTAAGTTTGAAGTGAGTGGGTCTTGGAGCTTGCTTTGATGTGAAGGCTTGTTTTCAGGAGCAGTTGTATTTGGCGCTGGGCTCGTGCAGTGTGCAATTATCCTTTGGCATGTTTTTTTTGCGCTGTTCGGGGCTTCAATTTGGCGGGAGGCGGCCTTGGTTACTGTAGCTTAGCTTCACTCGGGATGTCTTTGCATCGAATCTTGCTGCGGATTGGATCCTCGATGTTTAGAGAATGCTTCGGCGCATCGCTTGCATCAGCTAGCATTGCCTGCACCTGGCTTTCCGAAGACTTCAACGGACGTGTGAACCAACGGGTCAAAGTAACATCCCCAGCATTGCCTGCTGTTCGCTTCCAGTACCTGCGGCCTTGCCCCCACGGCTTAGAGCTAACAATAATAATCCCTCTGGCGATCCAAGCAGCTTTGCTTTGGCCTGCCTTCCACCATGGTCCATCCCATGAGCCATCCCTCCCTACGCCATCAGTTGAACTCTGCCCGGCCTAGCACGATGCCCATGTGGCTGGTCTTCCAAACGGTGCTCATGACCTGCCACATGCACAGGCCAATGCAGCCGCCGAAGACCGAGCAATCTTTGTGACCATTGCGACACCCAGAAGGGGTCTTTATCACCGTTCAGATTGACTTCTGCTCTTCAGCGTAGTCGCTGCAAGTCGCTTAGGCCTGCTTGCATTCATTTGGCTATGAGAGGAGATGCGAAGACGGCGAACAACACGTTCAGCAACCGAGCAAGAGCTGCCAAAATCCATGCAGCAGTACTTGCACGTTTGCAAGTCACGGAGAACAAACTGAACAAACCCATCTTTCAATGTGATGGTGGCGGGGTGTCCCAGGAAACCGGAATGTTCCGGTCTCCATCTCTCTCTCTCTCTCTCTTTACCTGCCCGTACTGCCCAAGCCGAACAAACAAATGTTGCTCAAATATCAAAACAACTCCCTGCCTACGACAAATTCATAGGAATCCTAGGATGGACGAGTGCAAATGGAAAATCCGTAGAAAGTGCCGTCCATGGAATCCGAGTTGCCCTTCAATCCAATTTCACCCCCAAGAAATCGGATCACCCTTCCCCCAACCTCCATGGACAGGAAACACATTCAACGCACCGGTTGTTGATCGCCTAGGCTGTCCTGCGCTTACATGCTCATTGTGCAGCTGTGGTTTGATATTTGAGTATCTTTAGGAAGCTAAAACAATGAAGACCATTCCCCGCTGCAGTAAAGAGGGCTCAAGAGTATGGGAGTTTGCATGATCCTTGCGCAGCTTGTCCGCAGCATGCGAAGCCTCTGGTCCTCGTTGGACACACGCCGTTGAGCATTGCCAAAACATGAATATCGATTTAGTAATCATCTTCCAGATTCTAAGCATCCGAAACATTCTTCGGTTCGTCGCTTTTCGTGGCAAGGGTCACCCAACTACTACCGCAAGGACAACAGCTGTTGCACAGCCCGAACGGACATCCACTCGTGATTAACGGGGGCATGTGATCGTTGGACAACCCGCCATTCCTGTCTTCCCGAGCCTCCCAGTCGGTCATGGGCGGCTTGTTTGGCCACCCCACCTCTGCAGAACAAAAGAACAAAGTGCCGAGATATGCCAAGCTAGCACGCACATGGGGTGCAGAAAGGTGCAAAGACGCTGCTGAATTTGTGCTGTTGCCCTTGCGCAGTCACTCGTTAGCAGCGTAAGAGTCACTGACACACCTGCAGGGCTTTACTGTCGAATGGTAACACCTCCAATCTGCTGGGTGGCTGAATGTCGGAAGAACATTGTGGGCAGGATGAGGAGGCCAGCAGCTGGCAGCGACATATTCAGGATGGCCTGAGCAATGAATGTGAGCGAGTAGCACCCCAAGCTACGCCCCACCATCACATCATCACAATGGCAGAACCTGTACTCTTTTGTTTGGGCACCTTGCCAGTGTTATCTCCATGCCGGATCCCTGCTTCATGTCACAAACCAGGGCTCCAAGAAGGTTCAGCCTATTTGACACCACCTGTTTGAGCAACCTGCAACCATGAGCTCTGCGTGATCTCCCCCAATCATCGCCGAAATGGCTGTCTTGCATTGGCTGCTGATCTGATGGGATACTGCGCGTTGGTAGCTTTGGCTTCTTCAGAAACAGTCGACAAGCATCGCTCTAGAAATGGACCACGTGGGCACTGTTTTATAGAAAGGGGTGGGGAGTGGAACCTGCAGCTCTTCCCATTTAAATGAAGTGCGCGGTAAATCCGCGCAAACCCATACAACCAAGTTCCAAGCGCGGACAGATTACACAATAAAACGTGTGCGTCTTCACGAAACTTCCATTTGCCTGAGGTGTCTGGAGCAAGCAAAAGAATATGATTCCAGTGGTGACGGTTTCCCTCCAAAACCAAAAGGGGAACATAAGAAATATGAAGCCTCAAGCCTCAGCTGCGAGCCTCAAGGGCGTTCAGCTTCAGGTGGTTGCTCAGTACTCGCACCACGATGAGCTCACAACCAGACGCCACCATGGACAGGCAGCACACCTCGGCGCGGGTTCGTTCGGCACTCAGCCGGCCCTCGGATTAAAGCGCCTGAAAGGGCATCTTACGCCAAAATGCCACAAACACAAAGGACTTCATGGAGAATCCGCTCAGAGAGCGAATTTAATTCAAAGTGCAAGTGAGCCCGTCCTGTGTTCATCTCAGACTCCGGGCCACCACCAGAATCCAAAGAAACACTTAGAACCAGGCAATACTAACATGCAACCATCAAATCCCCATGGCCTCCATCTCGCTTTTGGAGCTGCCTTCAGTTCTGGCTCTCCGAGACACAATGATGCCCACGTAGAAGTTGCGCTTCTGGCTCTCGGGGAAGTCCGACATCTTGCTGAGCACCTTGGAACTGTCAGATGCCCCAGGCCCTGCTCCACTCTGGCCCGGGAAAGTGGCTCAGCCCGTGAACCCGCGGGTTGCCGCCCAACAGAAGCATAGAGCCTCCCACTGCAACTCCGTGTGTTTCGCAGCTACAAAATGCGCAGGCCCAGCGCAGCCAAGGGAGTGATTCTCAGATTTTGAAAGCCAAATGCAGGCGGTTTTGAGATGGTGTTCTTCAAGGAAATTCGCACAGTTCCTCGAAGTTGCGCAAATCTGGTGCATTGGCTGATGATACAAGGCTGATACCATTGCATGACCAAAGCAAGAGACTGCATCATGATGTTCAGTGCGCCATGCAAGTAGTCTAGCATACGTCGGCGTTGCTTCCGCTTTCAACCCGACCCGAATCAGCAATCGTCCCAATAAATATAGTCTCCTGGCGCTTTTACTCAGCGTCCTCTGTGCATTTCCTAATATGTAAAACTTGTTTGAGCCATGCAGCATCTGTTGCTGGCATGCAGCATGTATTAGATTCAGACCAGCTTGCAGCAGCAAAAAACGGACTCAGTGTCCAGCAGCTGGAACCGCTGATGCCTGCCTTCTGCAAGTCTTTGCCTCTTTCATCTGCCCCTTTCCCGTGCGAAGGCCAGAATACTCCAGGTCTTCCCAACAAGCGGCTACGAGCAGCGCGAAGGCGGTCCCAAGCAGGGTGAGCACCAAATCCCGGCAGCTCACAACAGGCCGTTTTGCCTGACAGGCAAATTGACATCTGCCGACCCTTGTCCAATAGACCTGCAAATACAGGGTTGCCTTCTTGGAACCACCAACACTCAAAAACCGCAGGTCCAAAGTTCAGTCAACTGGACAAGTTGGGTGGCTTGGAATGGTGAACTGGACACGGATGAGACTTGCTTCAACGCGAATTTAGGTCAAAAATGCTTTGACGTAGCGGCTCAGTGCTCCGGAATGGAGCGTGCCGGCCAATGTCAAGAACGGGCTGTTCAAACCGCCTGTCAATTGAAATCCAGGCAACGTGGCAAAGCATCACCAACCACCTTGCAAACTGCATAGTTGGTGCATAGCTCAAGGCGAGGTGGACGATAGTGGGAAGTAGCAACTTGGCAGCAGTGCTGTGCAAACAGTGGGAGAATCCACCAAGAGTGGAGGCTGATGTATTCTTGAATTTGTCAACTAATCTTGCTCAGTCGAACGAGAAAATAAACAGGCGCTCGCCTGCTGCTTTAAATCAAACCAGCCAGAGCGAACTCAACAACAGTTTCAGGATTCCGACAATGTAATTATGTTCTTTGCGGACCCAGAACAAAGCAAAGGCTGGCGCGGACCAAGGCAAAAAGACATCGGCCGGTTTTGGCCGTCCATGTCGGTCTGTTGCAGAAGTCGTAACGAAAACCATACGTAGGAACCAAGCCGTGACCCCTGCCGTTTAGGCGCTCGACCTGATTAGATTCACAGTTTCCGCCGCTCGGCCTCCTCGCCGACGACTGACCTCAAGACTGGCGCTGCCAGAAACTCCAGGAGCAAGTTCACCAACGCCCCCGCAGTTCGGATGATGAGGTGCACGCTAATGTCCTTAAAACGGGCAAGCACTTTTGATGGTGGAACGCTTTTAGAGGACATTGAAGCATGCAACATTTGCAAAAGGCAATCAAACACAAGTCTGGCAAAACAACTCAGGTGTCAGCTGCATCACGTGTCTGCTTGAAAAAAGACAAAACAACGGTACCTCGTCGCCGTGTTCAATTCGAGGGCGGGGAGTCCCTCAATTGCAACCGGGGCGTGCCACCCTGCACAGCCAGGCGTGTGCTAGGGTTCCCAAAGCCGACTCAACGGCCGAGCGAGTCCCGGGAGTTGTTGTCTTGCTTGCGAAGTCCCGTTACCAAAAAGGCCCAACTCGCAAAACTGCACTGAGCTGGATGAACAAATATCTCAAGGTTCGAAGTAAGAGCTCCCACAACCTCCAGTTAGCACTGCGAAAGCTTGAGCGCCCGAGTGCAGTCACAGCCAGTGACCTCCCAGTGCTGAGTGGCAAGGATGGAAAGGCTCAGGTTGTTGAGACCTGCGGCAAATAGGACAGAAGCACAGAACGCTTGAGTTCATGAAAGCTTGAAATCGAGCTCTGTGGAAGACAAGCGCAGGGCGGGGAATGCAAATCAAAACCCCTGCGACCAGATAAGGGCGCGAGAGAGAAAACACATGTCAGCTCGCCAAGCCATGATTCCTGTCCTTTTACAGCCTCCGAAGTCAAGCCAAACAAACGGCCGCCAGCAAACAGTGGCCTATGTTGCAGACGAAAGCCAGCGCCAAGATCATGACAGAGCCAACCTGAGCAAAGCATCCGACTGAACTGAGAAAGAAAACAAACACAAAAGCACACACTGGCAATGTCCTTCAACAAGCGAGCCGGACATATTCCTCCTGTTTCAATCCTTGCAAATGCTAGCCCTCTGTTGTCCTTGGGTGCGTGTAAGATTGAAGACTTCCTATTGAGAGCATACATGTTATGATAAAAAAAGAAAGGCCTTGTATTTGTTTGCAATCAATCCAAGCAATGCAAATACCCGCAGACTGACTCTAGCACAGGATGTGGTTTGCGCATTGATCTTCATATACCTCGACCTGCCGCAAAACATGCGAGATCACATTACCAGAGGCGTGAGAGTGAGGATAGGGTGAAACACCCCCACACACACACGCGATTAATGTAAATGGACAAACGGTCTGCACCCAGTCTGCAGACTTGAATCATCTTTGCGCGAGTGTGAAGCAACAAAATCGGTGAGCTGGTGCTGACTAGCTGACTTTGCAGGCACGACTCAATCTAGCTCCCACGTCTCATCTGTGAGCACAGACCGCTCACTTTGCCAAGTGACGAAGCAAGCCAACATCTCTTCAGGTTTCAGTTGCTATGTTTGATAGATAGAAACGATTCAAAATTCATGACCAGCTGAGGTGTTCGATGATATCCTGAAATCGGGTTTCCTCAAGGTATCTAAAACAAGTGTTTGAGATGATATTTCAAAGCAGGCTCACGCATCCGTTGAACACGCTTCATTTGTCAATTTCGGAACCCGTTGATGGTGATGAACGTGTATGAACATGGCCCTGTCAGTGGTGCTGCTTTGTGAGAGCCGACCAATCATGAGGTAACATATTGAATAACTCTGATCTGCCATTACCAACTGAACAATCGCCCATTCATCAGGGATGCCCATTGAAGGTTTCCTAGTGACGTGTGAGAAGTACTTGAGGGTCGTGCCGTTGGATGCAATGGGCAACTCAGCAATCCCATTGGGTCTGGCCCGAACTTGGCTTACTGAAACCAGTCACTTGGCAAAAAAGCAACATGACCCTTCAAGGGGTGGCTTTGCCATCCCGGAAATTGGAGCCCAATCCAACTGCGACACCTCCCGGCCAGGCATATCAAGCAGCTTCTTGGCGGCTTTTCAGCATTCTGATGGGAAGAGGCTTGCCCAAGCACCAGGTGACACAGAAGCCTTAGCACGACTTGATTGCTGCAGGGGCCAAAACCCTGGCATGGCAAGCTTTGCTTAACTCTGCAATCTCACAAATGAGGAGCCTGAACACTTCTAGATGCGGAAACTTGTGTCTTTTGGCTTCTATTTATAAATAGAGGACTCAGCACACAAATTTGAATGGATCGTTGAGACGGCACCTTTGCAGACGAGGCACTGATGCTAATCGCCTGAGATCTTGGCCATCAGTGACGTCAGCACTTATTCCCACAAGAGTACCCCTCAAACTGTGATGGAGGATGATGGCTCTTTCCTCAATGCAAACCACCACTTCAATTCTCCCCAGTATGCAAGGCTCACCTGCTTGGTAAACGATGGCGCGGTGGAAGGTGTTTACCGAATCAAAAAAACGCATGGGCAGCTATACCCCGGCGCGCCCTCCCCCACAAACAGAACCATTGCTAGGTATGTCGGCGCAGGGGCTTGAAAAAACATGCACCCAAGCACCATTTCGACCATAGAGCAAATTCAGAGCAAATCTCGAGCAAATCTAGAGCAAATCCAGGGCAAATGGCTTGTGCCGGCGGTTACATGTGCTCAATGAACCTGTGATCACGCTTCCCTAGGCAAGCGTTCCTATCAGAAGTACATCCGGTGTATGTTTGATTGTCATTGGTGACTGCCACAACCTGGTTCGCAATCAAGAAGCATGGCTCTTCTGCCCTGCAACACCTTGGCAGTTGTAGTTTCAGGAAACCCACCTGAACCAACATTTGGGCCGCTGACTGTCATAAGAACATCAGTTACACAAGTATTCCTACTTTCCGACTCCTTGCCAAAGGCTCTTCAATCAGAGACCTGAATATTTTCCTGTGCCAATCAGCCCATCTAGCCCACGGAAATCCGCTCGACTTCAGATCCGGCGCCGCGAAGGCCGTCAACTGTTGCAGGGCGGTAACGGCGAAGGGAGCGGGAAAGCCTGGCAGTCACTTGCCAGGCTTGGGAGGCATTTCAAGGTTTGAGCCAGTTGTCTTCTCGAGGACCGGTTTCCAACTGCGGCTGGCGGGAGTAGTCTCCTTGCATCTACACATTTAAGTCTAATGCTTCAAATACATAAGAGCTGTGCTCCTTCCCGGCATGGCCTGGGTATTACCTACGGAAGGATTTGAACCTGAGGTGTAAGCGGGCCCTTCAGGAAAGCACGGGGAGATCAAAGTCACAAAAACGACGGATCAGTACTATTTTTCTTCTTGACTTGCGGTACAATAAGTGAACCAGGATATGCAGCCCTGCCTATCGCCTTTAGCACTTCTTCTTGGGCCTTGGGCAAGAAAACGGCCATGACCCCTTAGAACTACGCCAGCACTTTCATTCGATACCTTGGCCACACCCCAAAATCCCGGCCTATCAAGTCTTTCCGCAACTGGAAAGATGAGAACACCTGGCAGCAGGCAGCCGATGCTTTCTCATTTCGGCTCCGTGTCGGGAGGCATATAAGCTGGATGTGGGCAGATTTTCTTGGACATCAATGCTTTGACCTACAACGGACTTCATGATGCCTTGCGATAAAGTACATCCGCTTTGACCACTACCCTTCCCAACTGGAGAACATCGGCTTGTGATTCCCCGGTTCCTCTGCAGGAAACGTCCCACCTGCTTCATGTACAGGTTCATTGCTGTCTGTGCTCCGAAAAAGGCCATCAGTAGGCCTGGCCGACACCCGCAGCTCAGGGCGAAGTCAACTGCTCCCCACCCCCCACCCCCAAATAATCTTGCTGCAGGCTAAAGGCCCATGTCGCTGGTTGGCGACATAGAACAATCTAGTTCTCAGTGTAGTAAAATCATGAGGCGAAAAAGAGCGCAAGGCGCCGTGACAGCTCCCCGGACTGAGCGTGTTGCCTGGCAAGCTGCGAGGCCATAGCTTCTCGCAGGTTTTCCGCTGCAACAGAGCGCAGCAATGCGCCACCATGTCTTTGCATGAGCGCTACAATATGATATACCTGCAACAAAGACCTGGTCTAAAACCACGTAGTGGCCAGCTGCAGTACTTCCTCTGCGGAGGGGCGAGGTGAACCTCCACAGTTTTCTCGTTTTGGGAACGCTATGCAACTGCTCCAGCCTGGCAGGCCGACAAACAAAAAAGCTGCAAAACATCATAGCCCGCCAGCATGCAAATACCGAGCGGCGACCAAATAACACATGAAACTGAAAAAAGTACACACATGCACGCTATATACGCGTGTCCATGTAAGCTAGTCAAAGGTAAGCGTAGCAACAACAAAAAGTCAACACTATCGCGGAGTTCGTATGGCGACAAAGTTGAGGTGCAATATGGTGCAATGTAAACAGCTCAAATGTTGTAATGGATCAAGTAGATTGCCGGTCACGTGTTTGACTCTTGGTTCGGAAGGCTCACGTGGAACTCAGCTGAAAGCAGCGAACTCACTTACTTTGCGGCACCAGGTCCAATGCCATCGCCAAATGTGAAAATTGTGGATGCAACTTTGGAAAGGCAATTTGGGAGAGCCATCCCAGGCCATCCCAGGCCTGCCGAATGAGTCTTGGCGTTGGACTGCATCATGACTCCTGGCCGGACGGCAGCCAATATGACCGGCAAAACAAGGCACTGTAACAAAGATCGGAACAACTCACCGCATCTCGCATTGACACATAGGGCTCGTTGCAGCGGGCATCTCTAGTGCCACGAACGGAATTGCGAGAAGAACAGCGTTGGTCAAATGCATAGCCTGTTGGTCCCTGTCAAATGCTGCCATGTCTGCGTTTCCACAGCTGTGTGTCTGCAGGAAAAAGCGCTCGTGGTGCTCTTGCGACTGGTGCAACATCCTTGTCCACCTGGTTGTGAAGCACTGCAGTATTTACTTGAGGGCAACATTTGCGTTTTGAACGCTTTCATAGAAGGCCCCTTGGACTTCTTTGTTTTTGAAGCCCGACCGTTCTTGGGTGAACTAGGATCTGGTAGCAGCAAAGCCAGGGGGTCTCTGTTTGCGCTGTGGTGCTCTTGGTGGGCCCAAGCACCCCCTGTCAGGCCAATTTTTGAATCTGTTCGGCACAAGAAGCACATAGCATAGTTTGATACGCTTTATGTCAAAATCCCCACTCGCAACAAAGAAAGGGCTGCCTTGCCCCTCCAAATGACAATTCAAGAGCATTTGTAAAACAACGCGCGGCAAACCAGGCGCGCACCCAACATGTTGCAAGCTGATGCATCATTGCCAATCAGCAAAAATACAGCTACAGTCCTGACACAAACGGGTAGTCAGCGCAACCTGCGCAACCTGCGCAACCTGCGCAACCTGCGCAACCTGCGCAACCTGCGCAACGTGGCATCGTCCCGCCTAGGATCAACGCCAGACCCGGCACAAACAGTGTCTCGCACAGCTGCGGGGAGATGATCTGAAACTCTGCCTGGCGAGTTGACGGCGGTTGCCAGAGGCTCCATAAGGCTCTGTGAATCCGCCTTAGCTTCCGAAAGTGGGGAACAAATGGTCAAACCAGCAAAAATATGTGTCATCTATAGATGCGTAACTGCCTCAGCTCAGCATAGAGGAACTGTCGGGAAGACCGGGTTCACCAAGTCCAAGAAGTACGTAGAAGATACACAAGCATGTCTCATCAGAAGCAAACACCACAACCTAGTCGACGCTGCCCGCAAAACACTGTGCTGTTCAACCTATAAGATGCTTCTAGCAACCAGTCATGAGTGGGTGTGACAAACTGTGAATGTCTGGGTCTGACAACAGCCTGCTGCTGCTGACCTGTGGAGGACGGCACTCTGAGTACTGCACTCTGCCAGCAGGCAAAAAACACATTCAATGCCTGTTCTCCACACGATGGAATGCATCAAATGGTGCCTGACCCGTATAGCGTATGGAACCAACAAAACCTGTTGACCTCCAAGCAAAGAAACATGCGGACAGACTAGTTCAGGCGATGCCGGATTATGAGACATCGCCGCCAAGTAGGACAGTCCGACATGAAATGACTCGCTACCTCTTGTTGGACTGATAGTATATTTTGAATCACAAATGCTGATCTCAACAGCACCACGAAGAGTCTCAGCGCATCTCATTCGGTGAAGCAAACTGTGGTGTTTGGAAACTTTGCGTGTGCTTCACAATGGAATCCCTACTGACATAGTGCAATCAGAAAGCACTGTAGCAGGCAGTTCGGCAAGCTACCAAGCCGCACAAACAACGGTGACGCCGACAACACGACCACAACCACGGGCGTGCACCGGCCTTGAGCATTATCAGCGAATGTGACGGTTCAGGTACTGAACTCGCGTCGTCGATTTCGACGGGCCTCGAGGCATCTGAATCTACTGCGATGCTGGTGCAAGTGTTTACGCAGCAACACCTAGCAACCAACATTGTAATATGCGCCAAATTGTATCGTGCTCCTCAATACAAAATGCATGGCGCTGAACGTATGTTAATTCATGTCAACTCTCCGTGGGGATTGTTCTCGATGGGGGGCGCAACTATAATATGCTCGTGATTCTCGAGCCCAAATTGCGATACTACCAACATTGACATGCAAACATTTGAGAAAGGATGAGATTCATGTTCAATATGAGACGTGCTAAGGGATATCCCGGCAGTCTTTCTCCTGATGTTTTCCAGGAAACGGGGCCTCGCCATCCTCAACTCAAAAGCCAGACTCGTTCTCAGATTTCATGGCTAGATCCTCCAGTAGAGAGGTTAGAATAAGGGTACCCTTTTTCTGTAGTCTATTTTAGTAGGGGAACCCTCCCCCAAAAAAGGGTAAAAGGGCACTACTGGGAGACCTAGAGGGTGTCACAAGCACCGATCGTGCTCAAAGCGAAAATGCAAGCTGCTATTATTCCTGGATTGATACTGCTGGGAACGACATACAAGGAGAAACGGTGGTCAGTCAACAAATCGCTTCATTGTAAGACGCTACGAGCGCCTTATGACGTTGCCAAGACCTGATGACTTTAGGCCCGGGATCCAAATTTGCCCAAGCTGCGCCACTGCGGTGACTTGCCGTGCATGCCTCTGCATCAGGCACATCCTGCGGGTTCCAAGTCTCGTGCATGCGCCACTCGCAAAATCAGCAAAGTACGGGTGAAATGTCAAACAACTTCCTTGTAGCAAATCAGCAGCACTGTCCCAAAGCATATTTCTTGAACAGGTGGGGTAGAGCAGGGCTATTCGTACGCTATCAATGGCATGCCTCCATGGCCTGTTTGAGAAAGGTTCATAATATGTATTATCAGCATGCCATGACCCAACCATGCTGCCATTCCAAACTTTGCGATCAACAAGTGACTAAGTGGATCTATCCATCCGCCTCTCATCCTTTGCAGCTGCATGGAGCACCAGACCTTGGCCAGCAAACTCAGCAAATGCGATTGTCTTGCTTGGATGCTTTGCACACAGACCAGTCCTCAATTCATCTACTGATCCACGGCTTCCCTACATTCTGCAGGTGAACCAGTGACAACGGCTAGTATCCCTTTGCAAGTGTCCGACAATCATCCGCAGCTTGAACTTCTGAGTAACGCCTGAACAAAACAGACTGTTTTAATTTTGGCTTCCTTCACATGCCATCCAAAACACATTCCCTTTTCTCCCAATTCTTGGCAACACACACACACGCGCA